TTAAAAAGACAAGAAATAACAAGTGTCGGCAAGAATGTGGTGAAAAGGGAACCCTCATACACTGTTGGTGGGAATGTAAATTGATGTACCACCATGGAAAAGAGTATGAAGACTCCTTAAAAAAATTAATAATAGAACTATCATTTGATCCAGCTATTCCACTTTTGGGTATTTATCCAAAGAACATGAAAACACTAATTCAAAAAGATATGCGCAACCCTATGTTCATTGCAGCATTATTCACAATAGCCAAGACTTGGAAGCAGTATAAGTGCTCATCAATGGAAAAATGGAAAAAGAAGAACAATGGAATACTACTCGGCCATAAAAAAGATGAAATCTTGCCATTTGTGACAACATGGATAGACCTTGAGGGTATTGTGTCAAGAGAAATAAGTCAGATGGAGAAAGACAAATAACATGTGATTTCACTCATATGTGGAAGATAAACAAAAAAACACATAGAAGCAGAGAACAGACTGATGGTTACCAGAGGAAAAGGAGTTGAGGGGAGGGTGAAAGGGATAGAGGGACACATGCATACATGGACAGACGGCAACTAGGCTTTTGGTGGTGAACACGATACAGGCTATACACAAGTCAAAATATAGTGATATACACCTGCAATTTATATAATATTATAAACCAACTTGCCCTCAATGAAAAACAAAAACAAAACTTTCAAGAATACAATCAAATGTAGTAGGTTTAAACTTACTTTACCAAATAAAGTCTTGATTCTATTACCTGGCAAAAAAGAATAAATAAAAATAATATCAAGAGTGACAATAGCTACCAAGGAGAGAAAAAGATCCATAGTCTACCAAAGAAAATTGTGAGCCACTAGTGGCACACGCTTGAGTGGGGCATCTGAGATCTGAGGAGTTCGAATTTCTAGAAAACAAACTGGGAGCTGTTGGTGACTCAAGTCTTCAGATATTCCTAAAGCTTTAGTTTTCTGATTATATAAAGTTTAGCCAGTCTTTTGAGATCCATGTGGTACATGCAACTTCCTACCTCTCAATTCCACTTGGCTCTTCTCTGATGTCTCAGACTCAGCATATTCAACTCTGAGCTGATCAGCTTTCCCCAAATCCTCCTTCCCTCCTCTGCTCCTTTCCTTGGGGATTGGCGTTGCTATCCCCTAGTCACCCAAATCAGAACCCTGGAGGCCATCCTGGAATTCCTTGATATCTTCCATATTTAGTTTCAACATCTTTTGAACGTATCTCCAGCCCACTTTCTTTGTCTCCAGCTCTACATTCCCTGCCTGGTTCAGGCCCTCATCCTCCTTCATTTATAGTGGCCTTGTCTTAATTTGTGTTCCCTCAGAAGCAGATGCTGGAAGAATGACTTGAGTGAAAGTAATTTATTTGGGAGGTAAAGTATACAGGATAGAGGAATGGGGAAAGCAATCAAAAGGTCTGTCATCAAGCCAGACGCCACTGCGGGCAACTGGAGCTCTATCCCACTGGGGCACAACACATGTCCGGAGTTAAGCAGAAGCCCTCCTCAGGCCCTGGCTGAGAGTGTGGCAGGAGCATGACTTCTCTGACACTTCAGCCCTGCCACAGGCCACACAGTGAACTCCAGGAGCAAGAGAAGGCTCTCATGTCCCGAAACACAGCGGCTGGCAGCTCAAGGACGGTGGTGTGCAGCAAAGGCCTAAGGGTGAGGCCCAGGTGGCATATGACACTGGCCTGCTAACTGTCTTCCTTGCATACACTGTACTCCTCCGACTAACCCACTTTTCTATTTTTCAGTCAGAGTGATATTTCTAAAATTGCAATCTGATCATGTCATGGCCCCACTGAAAATCCTTTTAAGGCTTTCCATACTTATCTATATAAGATCCAAATAATTTAGCAAAGCGTACAAGGCCTTTCCTTCATCATTTGTCTCTTGCTTAGTTCTTCAGCCTGATCTCTTACTACCTCCTTCCTCCATCCCCTCACAAATACTATATTCCATTCTTGTTGAACCGCTTGCAGTTGGCAGAAGGTGCCACATTCTTTCGCGATTCTGTATCTCCGCATATGCTGGCTCCCTCCTTGGAATGTTTTCCCGGCTCCTCTGCCTGGCTCCTTCCAGACTAGGGAGGAGCTGAGCATGTGGGGCTCTGGGTAGGCTGCCAGAGTTTCAATCAGAGCAGAGAGAGAGGAGCAGAGGTATCTGTATACCTATGGATCTATGTATGTGTTCCCTTTAAGACTTTACCCTGAAAATGTGTCCTACAGCTAATAAAATAAAAGCAGAAATTGAAAACGACTGAATTACACCATCAGAATCCAGTGGCATCAAACATTTGAGTCATACAAACAATTCCCTTAGTTCAAATTCCTCATTGCTCACCAAGCAACCTTCCAGTTATAATACGATTTAAATATTAACTGCCCATAGAGGAATCACAAGCCGTGCCAAAATGAGCCTTCTTTTGTGTGTCATGGTCATTCTTCTTATTTAAATGAATAAATTGCATTATGATCTACATATCAGTCCTCTTTGTGTTTGGCTGTCCTGTAGCAGTCTCCTGAGTCTGAGAACTCTGGTGCACTGTGGAGATCAAAGTTTTGAATCTGTAAAGCCAAGGACCACATGTACCTTTGACTGCTGTGATGTCACCAAAGTAATGCCCACCCGTCAGGTAAGCAGCCAGCTGGTTTTCCTACGGCAACACCCCCAGTACCCTTTTTTTAAGGTGCAATGGTTCAGGCCCAACTAACTGGTCTTGATTTATTAATTTATGAAACCATATTTTAAACATACCACCTTCTGTATACAAAGATGTTGCCGGTAACTGTCAAAAGGACATTTTTTGTGCCTTACTTTTCTGTGAGTGGTTACATGTGGAACTAAGCCATGAACATCCTCTCATTCAGTTCCCCCTTTGACCTACATATTTTTGAGACCGCTGACAGGGCAGGCTGCACTGTTGAAAAAATTTATCTTTGGGTAATATGCAGACTGGGTGATTCACACAGGCTGACTCTGTGGCCTTAGCCAACAAGTCAGCCTAGATGAGGTGATTGAATCCTTGATTTAAGGATAGAAGGGTTCTAATTGTTTTTTCCAGAAAAATCTCATGTAGGAGAGAATGTTGCAGGGGAAGATTGACCTTCTGTGATTAAATGGTTCCATGGGATAGTGAACTAATAAATATTGAAGGTGAGAAACACTTTTTAATTCCCAAAAAGAAAATTAGCTGGATAATTGTTTTAGGTTGGTAATATGTGGTTCTGTTTGCTCATTTTGTGAAAGCTGAAGAACATCTAAATAAAGCGTCACCCATCAACAGTTTAATTTCCCAGTTAAACTGGGAACTTTAAGTTCCAGTTATGTTAGTAGCTCTAAATATCTTTCCTGAGAAGTTTTGTGCTCTTAAACATATTAAATAAGTCTACACTAAACTCAGCTTAGGGGGTGATTCTAGATGGATTATCACCTTTCCTAACTAGACATGGAACAGAAAACATATTGATGTGAACGCTTGATTTGCAGCCACCAATATGATGTTCTATATCTTGTTTAACCGAACAAGAAGTTGATCTAGAATTTGATCTATAGAGTGTCGCCACCCTTCAGGAGAGAGGACATTGAGCAGATAAAACCCTTCCACTCGTGCTGCTCTTTGCTCCTTTGTTTTCCTCTGGCTGGATGCAGATAAGGACAACGCCCTAAAGAATGACAGAGCCCGAATATAGAAGCAGCTTGAGTCTCTGAATTACCATGTGGAGCAGAGCCAAGGCAGTGGCCTAAGTTCCCTATCAGGACTGTTTTAGGAGCAAGAATAAATATTCTATTGTTAGCGCCATTGCATGCTTTGGTCCATTTGTCATGTCAGTTAGTCCACCCTGACTGATATACTACCAGAAATGTAACGTGTGAAGTTAGTGAAATCAGGGAGATGTGTAAAGTCACCAGGACCCTGTGATAAAATAGAAAAACAAGGACAGGGAAACTTCAAAATGTTTACAAAAGTGAGAGTTTGACCAAAGAGAGTTAAGATTTTGGTAAATGCAAACTATACGTGCGTCATTCCTGGTTACACTGGTAATTGATCCCCATCTCATTTTATTATAATGAGAACAATCACTTAAAAATGAAGCAAACAGACATGAGAGCATGCACTTGTTCTAGCTGGCTTTACCTGGAGAAAAATTCCAGGGTGAAGTGGGGTGGTGGTGGTTGTACTGAGACAAAAGATGGAGTAAAACAGGAAAGAAGCTAGGGATGTATAGAAGGGTTAAATTGAGCCTACATGTTTAAGATGTTCTTAGGAGGACTGAGGATTTCTTTTGCGACAGACTTTGGTCAAAGTTAAAGAAGATGATAAACCATACAGTGCCATGTCTACCTGGTCATCATGGTTGACATTGCTGCCAGGAATGAACCTTGGGCTAGAAAACGTTGGTTCTCCTGGTGATCTGTGTAAGTTGGCTCGTGATTTTGGCATTTGTGGCAGCTACTACTTAGACAGCAATCTGTCCTTCCAGGAGGTTCGGGCCCAACAAGGGGTAGTGGAAGTAAAACGGTGAGTCAACAATATGCTGTCCTATAAATAATTCAGCCACTCTCCTATTCAAGGACATTTACATTTTCTCTCTTTTGTCAGTAAAACAATGTTTCAGTGAACAAGCCTGAACATTAATATATTGCTCTGCATGGGGCATGAGTGTTTTTGAAGGTAAATTCCTGGAAGTGAAATGTATTTTGCTCTTTTTTACCATGTCACTTTTTGCTATTATTTTTCTTAACCTCTCAATACTTTAACAGTTAAAAAGAAGAAAGATTATGTATCAGGATCCTTTGGCAGCAAGTAACAAAAACTCAGCTCCCAATTGTTAAGAAAAAAAAAGGAAACATTATCTTACAGGGAAGTCTTCCCGTATGATGGCTCAGGATTGATTTATTCAGTGGTTCAACATCGTCGAGGACTGGGAATCTCTCCAGCTTCCCACTATGCCAGTCTCAGTGTGTCAGCTGTCTTCGGGCTAGCTTACCTCCTGGTGGCAAGGTGGTTATAGGAGATAACAGATGGTCTCTCCCTCGTGCCTCTTTTTAAGAAGGAGGAATTCTTCCCAGTTGTTTTGCAGCAGACTTCCCCTCAAATCACATAAGCACACGCCTGGATCGATCATTGTGAGTGGAATGGAACCATCATCCTGGTCTCAGACCAATCAGGATTCACCCTCCAGGACTGAGGCAGGACCAGCCTCCCCTGATGCAGAAGGTCTGGGAAGGAAAGGGCATACCTGAAAGCAACCAAAGTTCGATAAGAAGAGAGAAAAGGGAGGAGTGATTGTTGGCTAGACATCTAACAATGTCTGTTACAAGTCATGTATGCTATGTCTACTTTCAGAATAAGCTGTTACTCACATGCATAAAAATTGGATTTCTTATCCATTTTGAGTAATATTTCTATCAATACGTAATGGTGGTATTATTGAACTGATGACAACCACATATACCTCCAGAGATATATTCAAAATAAAGTTACTTCCAGTTTAAGGGATTAATACAATTCACGTAGATTTAAGAGAGAGTTTAAAAAATGGTTCTTGTTCTTTTGCAACCAAATCACTAAATCTCTTACGATGGTCGCAGCTGAAAGAAAGACCCAATTTGTGTACGAGAAATCTTGTTTAAAGTTTGTAAATCTTTATGTTGATTCAAAATGGAAATACCATCTTAATCTGCTTGTAGACTAACTCATATTGTACTGGCCAACTCATATTTTAAAGTACTAATTTGGCTTTGAAGATTTATTCCTACATTTTTGGAGTAGACAAATGCATCACATTAATTAAACTTGACTTAGGGACAGCTTATTGGCTTCATGTAGGCTGAACAATTTAGGTGTCATTTTTCATTATGGCTGTGGGTTCCAATCCCTACTCATCTCAAACTGCTGCTAATTTAACCCCTTGTTTTGGTGTTTTAAAGACATTAATTATCTAAAAGAAAGAGGAAAGAAGCCACTATAGAAAGCATCATAGAGACAGCTGAAGTAGAATGTGTTTGGAAAAATTTTGAAACCATTCAAAAAAATTTCAAAAATTTTGAATTTCAGAAGTTTCAAAAAATATATTTCAAAAAAATAAATACATTTTAACATGCTCATGTAAACAAAAATGGGCCTGAAGGTTTTAGAAATCACTATCTGCAGTTCAGTGGTCTGTTCTAAATGTTAGCCCTTTATTTCCTGCTCCCTCGGTTTCCTTTCCCTTGGCTTGCCAGGGAATGTAGTTGTTTATTATTATTATTGTCTCCAACCTCCACAGTCCTCCTCCCATCCCCAACCTGGTCCTCTGTTATAGTCACCAGCTTGCTTACGGCCAACATCCTACCCAGATATCCAGGCTTGAACCCCAGTGGCATTTTAGTCTTCCCTGCCCCTCATCAAAATCAGCCCATTGTTCACCTATGTCTTGTGCATTATAGCTTCTAAATATCACTAACATAGTTTGTTCTCTGTAAGAGACATTTGCTACTTTGACCTGTTTTATTTACTCCCAGTTTTCCTTTGAAGAACTTTCTTTTCCACTCTTAGTTCAAGTGGCTTGGGTAGGGCTCAGTGGTGGTTATGGAATCCAGCCTTCCCGGTCAGCATATCCCATTTTCCTGTCCACAGTGACAGGTCAGAGTGATGGACACATGTCCCAAGTTCTTCCAATGAGATGCACATGCAGAACTTTATTGGAACTTCTGGGGCTGCTGATAGGATGGGATATAAGCCTGGAACTGCTTACTGGCTGTTGGAGAATCAAAGAGAAGAAAGAGAGAGATATTGAGACTTGGCAACATCATTTGAACTACTGGAGCCAGCCATACCTGAACCCTTGCCTCTGTACTTTTTGGTTCAAGTTGCATTCTGTCAGTGGCAGCTGAAAATGTTCTGATGTACAACCATTTCCATGCCCACTTAACTCTCTTAGTCCCTCTTGAAGTAGTCCTCCCTTTTGTTCACTCTGCCAATTCCATTCTTTCTTTGAAACTCAGTGCAAGTGTTACTTCCTCAGTGAAGCCCTCCATAACACCTCCCCCACAGGAGGGTGGACAGTCCTGTGTTCTGCAAAAATTTATTATGCACAAGTCACACTGTAGCGCAATTGTTATGTGTTTGTTAGTCTATGGCAGACACTCCTCATGGCTAACCAATCTCCATTCTCACGTTTTTGTTATGGCAAAGTCCCTATTTTGTTTGAAGTGGCAATATACCTGGCTTAAATACTTGCCTTTCCAGAATCCTTTGCAGATAAGGGCAGCCTTGCTGCACCATTCTGGCCAGGAGACATAAATGAATATCTTCTAGAGATTTCTGGGGAAGATTTTGTTTTCCTCACTCGGGTAGCTTTAGTCCCCTCCTCTTCATTCTTCCTCTTCCTTCCTTGCTGGCAGGAGGCATGAGAAGAGGTAGAGTCGCTACCCAGCAGCCTTGAGTGACAAGTCATATGTTGGTGATGGTGGAGCAGAAAGATATTTGGAGCTAGAGCCTGGATGACTCTGAACTGCCCGCCTCCGGGTCTCACCTCGGGAGGAATACAACCCTATGGAGTTAAGCCACTGTAGCTGGATTTTTTATTTGGATGCTTCATTTGGACTGCATCCTAACTGATAGTCCTGCTCGAGACTATGATCTCCTGAAAGATAGAGCCTAGGTCCCCACTTCCGAACCCTAAATATATGTAATGCTTGGTTCATCAGAAAGGTTCACTCTAATGCTGGGACTCAAGTCTCAGCTCCACTTCAATCCTGAGATTTTATGCTTTTATTCTGTAAACCATTTACGATGCCTGATCTTCCTCCAGTGCCCACCCTCCTCCCCAGCCATTCTATTACATGTTACTTTAAAGGGAACCCCCAAGCCAGGAAGCAGAGGCTAGTCTCCACTCCTCTGTAAAATGGGTTGGTGCTGATGTTACTTTCCTTGCTTAAGAAACTTCTAACCACTTATCCACATTTGTTCTCGTTTTCATTTCATACATGGGACCTACAAAGACTTTTCAACATGAGATTGAAATTTCAAATTCCTTTGAATATGGTTTCACTCAGAAAACACTTAAAACAATGATTCTGACTTCAGAATTCAATATATTAACAGCTGCCAGTATCAGTCATCAAATTTGGCTCCCTGAGAGGCCGCCCTGGGCCTCAGGTAAAATTCTTCATTATCCTAGATAAAAATGCACTTCCTTAGGCCCTGACTCGTGCCCCAGGGGACCGATCAGGCTGATGGTGATGATTATTGTAATGAGCAGTAATTACTGTTGGCTGAACACTGATTCCAGAATTTCTGAAGTAAAAACAAACAAACAAACAAACAAAAGAACCCAGCTATTATTATAGCAGGGAAGAGAATTTATTTCCAAAGGACATGTGCTGTTTAACTCCCACTAGCAGTAAAGGAATTTATACTTTATTATATATTATCTGTTATATATTATATCATATATATTTCTCATTCATCAATGGTATCAAAAAATTAAAAATGGATATCTCCCAATTAGCTTCTGAAAGCACAAGTGATGTCATCACTCAGAAGGAGGCAAAATTAGTTATGTCCTTTTGTTAAAAGGAAGTTTGGTGGAAAAAAATCACTTCTTAAATTAACCATGAAAAGCTTTTACACTGAGAAGGAAGGACCAGAGTGCTTAGAACATCATGAAAGTCACTCCAAGTCACAGAGGCTAACAGGTTAAATGCTCAAAAAAAAGAGGAAAGAAGTCCCCTGAGTTGGTGGCTTGCTGAGACAGAGGAACATAGGATATAAGATCCAAAGTTCTTTAGGCCATGTGGCATAGTCAAAGAACCTAGATGTTAGACCTAGAGCTGAAATTGGGATTACACTCACCAGATTTTAAACTTCTCTGAAGAACATTTGAAAAAGCCAATAATACTTACCTATACAACCCAGGGACTGCCCTTAAAGATGAGGCATTGTTTTCAGACTTCCTCAGCATTCATCTCACTCAAAGCCTTTCCTTATTAAATTAATCCCTGGAGAGTATCTTTAAAGGTAGATTTACCTACTCTTGAGATGTCAGCTAAAATCACTTCATTTGTTGAACAAGCGCCGTGAAGAAAAGAAAACTGAGTAGCATAATAAAAAGTGATGAGTTGGTTGGTGGCTGCTTTAGAATGAATGGTCTGGGAGAGGAAGTGACTTCTGAGCTGAGATAAGAAGGAGCTGGACAACGGAAGGTCTTGGAGGCAAGCATGTTAGGCAGATCCAGCAGAAGTGAAGGCTTTGAGATTGTCTGGTGTACGGTGATTGGGGAATGTCCAGGAGCCCCCTAGGCTGGAGCAAAGGTGGAAGTGGGTGGGAGGAGTGATCTGAGATGGGATTTGATGAGTAGGCAAGGGCCGGGTCAGGTGGTCATCGGAAAGAGCTTGAATTTATTCTAAGTGTAATGGGAAGCTGTTGGACATGACCTGATGTCATCTATGATTTTGAAAGATCGCAGAAGTGGCTGTGTAGAAAATGGATGCTGTGAGGCAAGTGTGGAAGAGGGGAGACTGTCAGGAGGCTGCTGGGTAAGTCCAAGTGAAGAATGATGGTGATTGGACTGGAGTGATAGGAAATGGAGAGAGGCCAATGGATTCAGGGTGTATTTTGTAAGAGTAGCCAACAAAACATTTTGATTAATTGTACAGAGGATATGAGAGAAAGAGAATAATCAAGGCTTGAACTGAGTGAAAGATGCTGCCATTGAGTGACATAGGAAGACTGGAGAAGGGCCAGATTATTTTGTGGAGTTAGAAGAAAGAAATTGTTTGTAGCCATATCAAGTTTGAGATTCCTTTTAGATGTCCAAGAAAAGTTATTTGGAAGGTGAGGCTGACCTTGATGATAGTGTTTTCCCTGAAGTATTGAGGAAGTGGGGAGACACACTAAAGAAAATTCTTTTTAAAGTTTTAAAGTGAAGAGAAGCAGACATATGGTGTGATAGCCAAGAGGGATGTAGAATCAAGGCAAGTTTGTTCTGTTTTAAGATGGAAGATACTGAAGGATATTTATAAACCGTGGGAAGAAACTGGCAACGCATTCATATGAAGGCAAGAACGAAGTCCCCCAAAAGACAAGAGAAGAGATCAAGAGCAAAATTAGAGGGTTGATCTCCATAGGAGAGGGAACACTTTATCCATAGCCAGCAGAGGGAGGGCAAAGCGTGTGAATACAGATGTGGGTCATTTTGTAGATTTGGAGGTAGAAAGACGAGGAATTCCCTCTGGTATCTGTATTTTCACAGTGAATTATGAGGCAGCGTCATCAGCCACCACCAAGAGTGGTGGGAAGGGAAGGGAATATAGGAGGTTTGAAGCAGAGACAACAGAGCCTGTAGTATACTAAACCAAAAATATGAAAGCATAATAGGGTTTTTGAGCTGTGCTGTGTGCCAACTGAGATTTGTGATTGTGGATTTAAAATTAAAACAACCAGCATGGTTGGTTACGTGTTTTTCCCTAGGGATTTTTAGGAGATCTGGTCCAGGCACGGAGTGGTTGTGGCAGTGAGTTAACAGTGTTAGGGGACTTTAACAGTGGGGAAAGATTGCGTGTTTGCACGTGACTATAATTATGGACTATGGGAGTTTGAACACCAGGACACGAGGAAGTGATGAATAGTGAAAAAACAATCGGGTCAATGGATCAAAGATCTCTATGAGGTCAAAGACTTATTGAGAAGAGGGTAGTTGAGTAAGTGGAAATCATCTGGGGAGCTATAAACACATAGGGTTGTTCGTGCTCTACCCCGAGGCTTCTGATTTATTGGTTTGGATTGGAATTTTAGCATCAGTGTTTTAAAAGAGCTTCTGAGGTGACCATGGGTGCAACAACGGTTGAGAACCCTGTGTGACAGGAAGATGGACAATCAGTTCCTGCTTGAGGCCCCGTGGTTAGCTTGAAGGTGTGGGGCCCCCGAACAACTGTTCTCTTCTGCACCTGGTGGTTGTATGGTGGCCTGGGAGCGACCTGGGAATGAACAAGGATTTCCTCGCCCACTGATCAAACAGTGTCCAAAAGGGTAAATTTGAATGTAACTACAGCAAATATTAACTGGGATGATAATCCCAACTGTTAACATGAGTACATTTCCACTGTTACAAACATTCGTCCTTGGGCTCTCTGAGCTTGCTGGAATCTGGCAGCCTGGGAGAGTAAAGGACACTCCCGCCGGCATGGTGGGCTGCGAGGGCCCTCTCAAGGCATCTGGGTCATAGGTGCTCTGAAGCCATTCATGGGGCCTCTCTCCTCTCTTTCCATGTGGAGGAATAAATGTCATCCTTGTGTGTAAATGGTCAAAAGTGACAAAAGAAAACATTATCCAAGCAACCCAAAGTGCAAATTCTCTAACACCCTCATCCACCCATTTGACAGAGTAAAAACATGATAAGGTGTCACTTATGGCCAAATGAGATAAAAGAATTTTCCTTACACCAATCAACAAAAATATTACGAGACAGGGCCATTTTCAGAAAAGTCCTGTAAATAACAACGTATATTTGTGATACACAACACTAGGTCCTGATCTTGCTGAATTCTGCACCCAGGAATCTCCAGAGTCACCCAGGAGCCAGCAGAAACTTTATGTGAGGTCACATACGAATGGGCTCCCAGGTTATAAAGTCAACACTCGGCCTCTTACCTGCATGGCCACCAAGTAACCAAGTGGCAGAAAATGGATGTGAAATCAAAGAGAAATCAGGAAAAATGCCATGTAGTATTCAGTCATGGCTTGGTCTGAGAGTTATGAGCACCAGTAAGGTCAAGTGTGGCCAAAGAACTCACAGAACTTTCTCAAGCAGGACTTTCACCGCCTACTCTCATCACTGTGCAGACAGCAGGGTGAGTAGCAGCTCAAAAAAAAAAAAAAAAAAAAAAAGCATAAACATTTTAAAAGAAAATAAACTGCAAGGCTTTTAAAATGTTAAAGGATGCTTTCTGCTGGTTTTAATCTAAAATGGAATTCATCAAAAAGAGAGGAAAATGATCAAACAGTGTCCAAAGGGGTAAATTAAAGGGTAAATTTGAATGTAACTACAGTAAATATTCACTGGGACGATAATCCTAACTGTTAACATGACTACATTTCCATTGTTACAAACATTTGGTTTAACTTAATCCCCAGAATATATTACTGCCAAAAGGAATCTCATTGACAAGAGCTAATGCATTGGTTACTCTTAAAACTATCCCTTTTTAACTGTTGACTTACTGGTAGTGTTCGTCATGGAAAAGACTATTTTTATTACCATTGTCATCAATCTCAGTGAAGTTCAGAGATATTTGCTTGTGGGTGCTGCAGCTTATTCCTTTGCTGGTTAGAATCCACATGTGTGAACAAGAGCCCAGAGGTTCGGGTGATGCTACATTTCTATCGGATGACAGCGTGACTGTGATTTGATCTGTTGAAAGTGTTTGGCTGGGCTTCCAATCCAGATTCTTTTGACTGAAGCCCACAGGCAAGAAGCAGCAGAAACAAAATGCACAGTGAACTCATTAAACATTTTTTTTTATATGATCAGCCTTGCTTGGCAGTGCTGAGGGCGGGGTGGTGGGTAGGGACTCTCCAACATTTCCCTCCAGCTTCTCAGATACTCCCCAGACTCACGTTGGCAAACATCTCTCAGCATCTCAGAACTACAAATGAATGCAAACTAGAAAGCACCACCAGACTTTCAAATCTAGCATTTCAATGAAATAACATAATATGGTGGAAAGACCTTTGGCCAAAAAGAGATTCAAGAAATGTAGGTTGAGCCCCAGTGCTGTCATCAAATAGAAAAGTCATCTTGGCCAAGTCATTTCTTTTCTGGGCCTCAGTTTCCTAATCTATAAAATGAGACAGGTCTAGCATATCAATGATTTGCAAACAATGCTCCTCTGGACCCTTCGGGAAAGGAGCGGTTGGGCCACCCCATCCAACATATTGTTTGCTTTTGGTACTGAGGCTTTCTTTGAAGAAAGATATCTGCCATCAACTAGTAGTTAGTTCACCGACTACTAGACTAGATGTTCTTTAAGGTCTCTTTAAGAATGAATACTTTGGGGTCGGCCCGATGGCACAGCGGTTAAGTTCACACGCTCGGCTCAAGGTTCACCCGCCCAGATCCTGGGTGCAGACTTATGCACCGCTTGTCAAGCCATGCTGTGGCGGGCATCCCATATATAAAAAGTAGAGGAAGATGGACACGGATGTTAGCTCAGGGCCAATCTTCCTCAGCAGAAAAAGAGGAGGATTGGCATCAGATGCTAGCTCAGGGCTAATCTTCGTTAAAAAAAAAAAAAGTATGAATACTTTGAATTCACAGTGGTGGTTCCCAAATTTTTTGATGCATACTAATCAGCAAAAATATTTTTTGCCATGTATTTTCAAAATAAATATTCACAAATTACATTTGTGCATTACTGTAAAATATATCCCTTATAAACATTTCCCCCAAAATAGAAATGTCAAAAGGGAAATAAAGATGAAACTTTTAAAGTAAATCATAAATTTGTTGTTTAAAGCTAAAGCCTTTCATTATCAATAATGATACTTTTATTACTTAACATTTTAGTGAAAGTAATACTATTTGAATATGTCATATCTGATTGGTTAGTCGTTGTTCCTAACATTACTGCATGGTATTTGTTAATTTTCTACTACTACAGTAGGGCTCATGGCAGATACTCAATATTAATAGTACTCTGTCAGTCTTTACAAAACAAAAATTAAATAAACAGTCTATGGCTCTAGGGTTTTCTGAATGATTAAAAAATCACAAGATGTTGGAAGATGGTAAATTCAGCGTTCTTAATTCCAGACAAAATAATCCACTCTGGGTAGTTTAAACAAAAAAGTTTTCTTAAAAGAGTACAGATCTCTGGGAAGACCAGAGAACCAGGCTTGGGTAGTTTACATAATAGCTGGAAGAAATGCCCTTCCATAGCACAGGACTGACCTACTAAAACACGGTGGCTGTCCCTGCCTGCTTCTCTACATGATGCTTGGGACTGGATGCCAGAAACTCCAGCACAGCTGTCCTGGGAGCTCTGGATGCCTCGGCCTCTGGGCTTGCCAGGAGATCCAATTGCCCCCTAGTGACCACTGCCTCACATTGCTCACTCTGCCTCCCTATGGTTGCAGGTGTGTCCACTGTTAGAAGATCTGGGAGAGACGAATTTCAATTAACAGGGTGGATCTAGACATGCTGTTCCCTAAGAAGTCCTGGTAAGGAGAAGAGCTTTACTGGGGAGGATGGCTGGGAGTGAAGAAAGAGCTCCACTTCCAAGGAGGGGTCAGAGTCCAAACTACCAAGTCTGTGAAGGCACAGCTTGGCTGGTAGCCTGGACTGGAGTCAGTCTTTGAGTGGTCCTGAGCAAGAGGGTAGAGTGGGCACCTGGGCTTCTGGGCGGCAGCAGAGCTCAGCCTCTAGTGAGCGGCTTGGATGCTGGAGGTTAAGTTGGCCTGTAACAGTCAACATGAGGGATGGCAGAGGTAAGGTCCAGCCCCAAGAAAGGGGAGTGGCAATAATGGGTTGAGAGATCACTGCTCTCAGCCAACCAGGTTGGGTTCAGGCCTGGGTCAGGACAGAAGGTCCGTAAGATAGACTGAACACACAGAGTGAGAGCCAAATACTCAAAACACATCCAGAAGCTGAAGTTCACTTGAAGCCCACTTTTGATTCTGGACGAGGCAGCAGCCACCCCCTGCCAGACCCTTATCACTGAGGAAAGGAGCTCGTTATACTACCAGCCAAACCTCTGAAGTGTTCAGAACTGACCAGGCCACAGCTGTTCCTAACTGACAGGCCAGATGAAGGCAATGCTCTAGTTATTTACTGCTGGACAGCAAACATCCCAAATGTAGTCGCATAAAGCGACATTCATTTTATTATGTTCACAGAGTGTGTGGGTCAGGAATTCAGACAGGACAGAATAGGATGGTGTCTCTGCCCCATGACATTTAAGACTTTAGCTGGTAAGATTCAAATGCCTGGAGGTGGCTCAAACAGCTGGGGGCTGGTGTCATCAGAGGACTTCTTCGCTCCCCTGCCTGGCACCTGGGCTGGGATAACTCAAAGGCTGGGCTCTGTTGGGACCTTTGGCCAGAGAGCCTACATGAGGCCTCTCTGTGTGGATTGGGTTTCTCACAGTGTGGCCACTGGGGTTCTGAGATAGAGTACCCAGTTGGAAGCTTTCAGAGAGCAAATGTTCAAAGAAACCTAGACAGAAGCTGCATGGGCTTTTGTGGCCCAGCTTTGGAAGTTACATATCACTTCTGCTCTCCTTTGTTGGTTGAAGCAGTCATAAGCCTGCCTAGATTCATGGAGAAGAGACACAGACACCAACTCTTGATGGGGAGAGGGTCAAAAAATCTGGGACCATATTTTAAAACTTCTACTAGGAGAAAATGAGAGAAAGAGAAAAGCTTAGAAGTACATCAACCACACAAAAATATTGACCTATGATTGAATAACCTAGTTTAGTTTATTTAAACAACAACAAAAATGACAGAAGACTTGTCATGTGCCAAGTTCTGTGCTAAGTGCTGGGTATGCAGAGCTAAGTCACAAGGAGTTTACAGCCCACTGGAGAAGACAGATGAACACATACTGTTGTAACTGAAGGCCAAGTGAGGAAAGTGAAGCAAGACGGATGATATAAAAGCGCTGCAATAGCCGAGAGGAAGGAGAAATTAATATGATAGAGAGGATGTGCTGTCCAGGAGGAAGGATGTGGAATTAGAAATTAGACCTGAATTTGAATCCCACCTTCACCATTTTGTAGATTGAACCATGTAAAAAGGTTTTTGTTGGGTGAAAAACACTTAAGTATCAGCAATTTCATATGATTCAACCTAATACTAGGTAGGTCACCTTGAACAAGTCATTTAACTTCTAGGAACATTAGTTTCTTCACCTGTACAACGAGGTTAAAAATGCCATGGGGTTATTTAAAAAATAAGGTAACATATGCAAAATGTCTGTGTAGTGCTTAACACAGAGTAATCACTTAATAAATGCTTGTTGTTGTTTTGTAATTATTGTTATTATCATTATGGAAAGCATTAGAGAGAACACTAAATCTGAGATGACATTTGACGGCAGAACACGATTTTGATGGCTACGTAAAGGAGGTGGGGAGAGAGATTTTAGACTGATCAAAAACATGTTAAAAGACTGTTTTTGTGATTCTACTTATAAGTGACATCAGTTCTGCATTTATTTTGGGACCTACAAATTTCTTTTGAATAAAAGAATTCAAGAAAAAATATTGAAACTGAAATTCACTATGAGCAAACCACCACAGGTATTTTCAAGTCTAGACATCCCAGCATTTTTATGGACTAAATAATCTGCAATCCGTTCCTTCCCAAATCACCGGAGCATTCTGCTTAATAATAATAAATGTTCTTGAAAGAATGAAAGGGAAGTTCTTGTGGCTGAACACAAGAGGGAATAAAAGTCCTGGCAGCCTGTCATTGGGGGAGGGGGAGCTAATAGCTTTGAGAACACGGGCTTAACTTTCAAAACCTTCATGAAATCAGGACATGAAGTTCTGGTCCAACATGAGTTGGGGAGTTAGAATTTATACCCTTACAAGAAGCTGGGTCTCAAAGATTACACCATCAGTAAAAGGCCGGTCTAGAAAATCATCAGATTACCAGAAAAAGAGATAAGAAGGAAGCTTCCACCTCATCTAGTCTCTAGGTTAAGAAGAAAAAAGTCTCCCCTAATAATTCTTCCCAGCAGGCCTACTATCACTTATGTCTGTGGTTCTAATTACACTTCCTCTGTGGCTTGGAAAACCCCAGGCTGATAAATAAATTTAAAAATTGATGATATCCCTGGGTTATCTGATAAAAGCAGATGTAAAACCACTCTGGAAGGATAAGTCTTCGAGTAATCTTAAACAGGATTCCTAAGGATAAAATCTTGCTGAAGGTGAACTAACAATCTAAAATTCTAAAACAGGAGAAAACAATTCATCTGAACAATGGCCAGTAGATACAACAAGCAGCAGGATTAGACCGCTGGAAACTTCAGATAAATAGAACCTTCAGATAAATAGAACCGTCAGATAAAAGAAATTATGCTTAAAATGTTTAAAAATTTAACATTGAGACTGAAAATAAGAAGACAACAAGGCAAATGTGAAAAAATAAGGGGCAGATTTTTTTAAAAGAACCAATATAAATGATAGAAATTTAAAAAAATAATTTAGATGGAAAAAATTAATGGACAGGTTGAATAGCTGAGAAGACACAGCCAAAGAGAGATTTAGAGAACTTGAATATAGATCTGAGGAAATTATTCGGCACTAATCACAGAGATAAAATATAGAATGTATGAAAGAGTGGGAAAGAAAGATGGAAGATAATACAAAAAGATCCAGCATATATCTAATCAGAGAACAAGAAAGAATGAATTGAGAGACTGAAGGCGAGGCAGTATTAAAAATGGTAATTGCTGAGCATTCTAAAATTGTTGAAAAACAAAAATCCTCACATTCAGAAAGGGCCGCTAGTTCTTAGCAAGATGTGCTTTAGCACTGGAGGACAAGAAGAGTTGGATACCTATACTCCTCAAGGAATTTACAGCCTATTAAGAGAGACCATAGAGGTACAGACAAAACCAACATGTAAGGCGGTTGGTGATGGGGAGAGATTGCTTCCAGTTGGGAGAACCATATCAACAGTTTACTGGAGGAGGTGCTGTTTGTCTTGGATCTCAAAACACGGATGAACTGAACGGGTGTGAAGAGGAAGTGTAACCCATCCTACACGTCACTGCTTGCGTAATCTTCCTAAGGCAGAGTTCTGATAATGTCATTTCCTTATGCAGAATCTTTAAGATCTCTCAATTATTTTCAAGATAAAACCCCCAATTTTTTCCTTTCATTCAAACCCTCCATGGCATGTGCCCACCCTATCTTTCCAAACCAATTTCCCATAAAGTTTCTATTTGAAGCCTACAATTTAGGCAGACTAAGGTTCTTAATACTTCTGGTGCATACCTCATGCTTTCCCACCTCTCTTGCTGTTTCCCCTATCTAGAATATTTTTGAATGAAAGGCAAACATTTAGGGCTTTATCTTGAAAATAACTAAAGGATCTTGAAGATTCTGAGTAGGAGAATGATA